AATTTTTTGGGGAAATTTGTTGTATATGTGTTTGAAATTTGAGTCTTTTATCAAGGTGGATTCCTAAAAATTTTCCCTCTGTGAGTTTTGTGATAGGTGATCCATTTATCATTATGTTAGGAGACACATCTGTAGCTCTGTTACCAAACTGAATGAAGTAGGTTTTGTCAATGTTTAGTGTAAGTTTGTTGGTCCTCATCCAGGTAGATATTTTTTGTAATTCGGTATTTACAGTATTGGCTAGCGTGACTGGGCTCGGGTGAGAGAAGACGTATTAGTGTCATCTGCAAATAGTGTGGGTTTCAGTAGTTGCGATGCATTTGGTAGGTCATTTATGTATATGAGAAAGAGAAGAGGGCCTAGGACACTTCCCTGTGGGACACCAACTGTAATTGGTTGTGCGGAAGAGCTTGCCCCATTTGCGTACACATATTGGCGTCTGTTGCTGAGGTATGACTTGAGGTAGTTGAGGGAGTGCCCTCTTATACCATAGTGTGACAATTTTACGTGGAGCAAGTCATGGTCAACTGTATCAAAAGCTTTACGTAAGTCAATGAAGATCCCCAGTGGGACTTCTTTTTTCTCTATTGCTGTATAAATATGTTCTAGCATGTAGATAATAGATACATCGTGGGTAATATAATATACATCGTGGGTAATATAATATACATCGTGGATAATATAATATACATCGTGGGTAATATAATATGCATCGTGGGTAATATAATATACACCGTGGGTAATATAATATACATCGTGGGCAATATAATATACACCGTGGGTAATATTTAATATAACCATGTTAGTGTCCATGAGACACGTAGCCCTAACCATCAGGCAGTAGATAGTCTTGAAACTTAACACGCCAACTGGGTAAACAAACTCTCATCTTTGATTTTTCATCAAAAAATTTATTCAGTGCGAAGTAAATCTGACATCAAATACAAAATTAAAACTGACAATACACCTAGTCAATACTTTCTTTTTTTTACATATTCTTATAAAAAATAATTTACATGTCTTTGACGAGAAAAATAGTGCATATATTAGAGATATATTGAAATATTTTAGCTAAGATCAATCTTGTATATTCCAGCAGTGGATATGTTAGATTATTAAGGTGGTTGTAGCAGGGGATTATCACAGAGCAATTATCCAGTGAAAATCTATGTTATTAAGATGGTTCAAGCAGGGGATTATCACAGCAGAATTATCCGGTGCTAAAATGTTCTTAAGATAGTTGAAGCAGGGGATTATCACAAGAGAATTATCCAGTGCTTATCTATGTTATTAAGATGGTTGAAACAGGTGATTATCACAGGAGAATTATCCAGTGTTTATCTATGTTATTAAGATGGTTGAAACAGGGGATTATCACAGGAGAATTATCCAGTGCTTATCTATGTTATTAAGATGGTTGAAACAGGTGATTATCACAGGAGAATTATCCAGTGTTTATCTATGTTATTAAGATGGTTGAAACAGGTGATTATCACAGGAGAATTATCCAGTGATAATGTATGTTATTAACGTGGTTGAGGCAGGTGATTATCACAGAGCAATTATTCAGTGCGAAAATTTAAAAAAATGGTTGAAGCAAGGAATTATCACAGAAGAATTATCCAGTGCTAATTTACGTTATTAAGATAGTTGTAGCAGGTAATTATCACAGGAGAATTATCCAGTATTAACCTTGATCAGAAACTAGCTGATTATTTCAGACATTTACGTGAGATTCATTGTAATGAAAATTTATAACTCATACACAGTAGTGAAAAATGGTAAGTGATATAGACACGTAATTGGGAAAAGTCAGAGAACAACAAATATCAGGACACTTTACTGCAGATGTTTTAGTCTTGGGACCTTTGGAAGCAAATGTCCTAGTTTTTGCATTCTGGGCCTTTTCCAAACTATAATCAAATATATATATATATATATATATATATATATATATATATATATATATATATATATATATATATATATATATATATATATATATATATATATATATATATATATATATATATATATATTTATATAAATCATGCATGAGTGATTTAAAACATTGATCACAAAGAACTTTATATACACTATAGTTATCACTTTACCATGATGAGCTTAAATAGAATACACACATTTGTTCCTCATATAAGCCTTAATGTCCATCTTTTATAACAGAATCGTAATCTGTTCTCATCTATTCTTATATACGACACAACTCTTATCTGTTTTTTTTTCTTCCTCACGTTTTTCATTCTCATTGCTACTCTACACATTTTTTTTAAGTTTAAAGAATAATTTCCAACATACGTGGATTTGGAAACTCAAGACTGATAAATGGAACAGTAAATAAGTGAGGATGATGAAGCAAGCAGTTGTGTAGACTGCTTTAGTCTGTCACATATAATGTACCAACATGAAGCGTTAACCTCCAGACTTGACCCCCAGAGCAAATATTGATGTTTATTGTAGAGATATTTGAAGCTAGAGCAAAAGTGATGTATAGTTAAAAGATATTTGACCCCCTGAGTAAACACTGATGTTTACTGAAGAGATATTTGACCCCCAGAGTGAAACACTGATGTTTATTGAAGAGATATTTGACCCCCAGAGTAAATACCGATGCTTATTTAAGAGATATTTGACTCCCAGAGTAAATACTGATGCTTATTTAAGAGATATTTGACTCCCAGAGTAAATACTGATGCTTATTTAAGAGATATTTGACCCCCAGAGTAAATACTGATGCTTATTTAAGAGATATTTGACTCCCAAAGTAAATACTGATGCTTATTTAAGAGATATTTGACCCCCAGAGTAAATACTGATGCTTATTTAAGAGATATTTGACTCCCAGAGTAAATACTGATGCTTATTTAAGAGATATTTGACCCCAGAGTAAATACTGATGCTTATTTAAGAGATATTTGACCCCCAGAGTAAATACTGATGCTTATTTAAGAGATATTTGACTCCCAGAGTAAATACTGATGCTTATTTAAGAGATATTTGACCCCCAGAGTAAATACTGATGCTTATTTAAGAGATATTTGACTCCCAGAGTAAATACTGATGCTTATTTAAGAGATATTTGACCCCCAGAGTAAATACTGATGTTTATTTAAGAGATATTTGACCCCTAGATAAATACTGATGCTTATTTAAGAGATATTTGACCCCCAGAGTAAATACTGATGCTTTTTTAAGAGATATTTGACCCCTAGATAAATACTGATGCTTATTTAAGAGATATTTGACCCCCAGAGTAAATACTGATGCTTATTTAAGAGATATTTGATCCCCAGAGTAAATACTGATGCTTATTTAAGAGATATTTGACCCCCAGAGTAAATACTGATGCTTATTTAAGAGATATTTGACCCCCAGAGTAAATACTGATGCTTATTTAAGAGATATTTGACCCCCAGAGTAAATACTGATGCTTATTTAAGAGATATTTGACCCCCAGAGTAAATACTGATGCTTATTTAAGAAATATTTGACTCCAGATCGAACACTGATGTTTATTTTAGAACATTTACTTTACATCAATATTTTATTTGTATCAAAACTAACATAGGAACCTAACATAATCTTCTCAAAATGTATATAAATTAAAATAAATGAATTTACATAAAGTGTCGGAAAAAAGCTACATTTAGACACTTTTTCTTTTACACCGATGTTTAATATCCACATAAACCATAATTTTTAATGGGAACTTTTGAATTTCCTACAAATGCGTGGGGGAAAAAACTCAAAAAAAAGGAATAAACTGAGTGGTTATAATTATGACCATATTTTTTAAAGGGGTGGACCGGTAAGCCAGCGGAAAGCCTCGGTCAGATGACCAAAAGCTCCAACGGCGAGTCATCATCTGACTTAAGACCCGCATCAGGAAACACTTGTCCTGTTTCCTGACGAACTTTACCTAACCTAACTAAAAAAAAGGTTAAAATACCGGATTATATCCAAAAAAAGAGTGTCCCGTGCTGGGTCAAGTCTAAAGTTAACTTGTGAAAAACTGCACAGTGAATTTTTTTTTCAAGCAGCGGGATTAATAACTGACAACACCGAACATTTAATAATTTTCCGAATACATTGTCTTTGTACCATAACAATGTTTGTGTTTGAGTGTTAAAGGCACGCTGTACATCACAGTGGTATAGTATTATATCATTATAATATATGGTTCTCACAATATTATATCGTACATTTGTAATATATGGCTCTCACCATGCTGAGAATGGCAAAAAAAAATGTTATGTGATACGACAAGTTGTTGGGGGAAAATCAAAGGTCAGGACATTTCATTGAAAGCGTTTCGGTTCTGGGACCTCTGGAGTGACCGAAATGTCTCCAAAAAAATGTCCTGGTGCTTGCATTCTGTGTCTCTTCCAGCATGCTAATAATAAATTGACCATTCCAAAATTTATAAATTTTAAACCAAATATACCAACCTCGGCGGGATTCAGGAATTATTTTATATTTTACGATACAGCTGTCTACACTACGAGATACGCAGTTATTTTTTTGCACCAATTGTTGTTGTGGGAGATATTAGAGATATTATGCAACACAACAGGGCCAATCAGAGCCTAGTATTGAATTGTGTTGATAAGCTCAGCCAATCACAGCGAACGTAAACAAAGAAGCGCCATTTGCATTTCTTAATAATAATAATAATAATAATAATAATAATAATAATAATAATAATAATAATAATAATAATAATAATAATAATAATAATTAATAATAATGAGAGGAGTTCTTGCAAATTCACGTTTTACGACATATTTCAACATAAATTAGCCCGCTACAATGTGAGTACCATTCAATATTTTTTTACTGTTAGGCTAGGCTAAGTAATGTTAGGATACTATAATTTATCGCCAAAATTCAACGAAAAGCAACAGTCAATTGGTTTTATTAAGTTCGAAGAAAAACATTAATATTGGTTCGCCTGGACGGAGTCCTGTTTGCCCAGGACACACTTGACCCCGGCCAGCTCCTTGACTTTACACTGGTCAGTGTCCCAGCGGTGTGTGCACATCAGAAGGTCAGACTCGTCCCCGTGACACTGGAACTTGTCCAACTTGACCTCCGGGATGGATGGATCGTTGTAAAACTCACTGGTGGGCTGTGCATCCTCCACCCTGTGTTTACGTAGTAATATAAGTCTTCATAACGAATAGGTAAATTAGAAACGTATTTGTTATGTGTATAGCACATGTGTAATGTTTATATTTGTTGAGGAAACGTTTTGCCAAGTAAGGACTTGTTAGCCCTATACAAAGTTTGTTGAAAACAGGCCTTAAATGGGGAAGGAGAGGTCAGGTAAAGCAGAGAGAAGTCAGGTGAGGCGGAGTGTCAGGTAAAGCAGTGAGAGGCCAGGTGAAGCAAAAAGAGGAAAGGTGAAGCAGAGAGATCAGGTGAAGCAGTGAGAGGTCAAGCCATGTAGAGGTAGAGAGTGGTGCGTGAACTGGACCATGATGTCACCCAACTGTAGATTTGTCGCCTTGAAATCATCTTAACAAGTACGTCACAGATGATGGAATCCCCCTGAGCCTTGTACTCCTAGATTAGATACTGTTACCATGGCTGTTTCTGAACGACTCAGCCTCTGTATTTCGTCATCCCATTTCATGAGATGCCCGTGTATGGTACAGTGTCCCACACGGGTAGCTCTGTCACTGCTGCATACATGCTTATATTCCTTTAATTCATTGTTCCCGGGTTCTAGATGTCTCACCTATTAAACTTTCTCGCATTCTGCACAAGGGAGTAAATTCTAGTTAGCTTCTTTTTGATGAATTCCGATGGGGGAAATGTTGCATTTTTTGGGGTTGAGGTAAAACTCTAAAACATTAATTATAAGTAAACTTCATACCCAAGGGTGTTAAAAGGGATGAATGTTAGTCTCTTAGAAAATTACAAATAAGTTGTCTACGTACATAACCAATTAAAGGTTTTGGGGATGGAGGTAAGAAGTGTTGTCCTGAGTGCTAAATGTAAAATTTGTGTAATGATTCCCGGGGCAAACACCCCTTACTCCCCATCCAAAAGTTGGAAAGTAAAACGGGAAACAAGTTTTGATTTCTCCGGGACTATTTTCAATTCCAATTTGACAGTGCGGGGGGATTAAACGTGATTTATTTTACCCCAATTTAGGATTAGTTGGGGGAATGAAAAAATAAATTAAAAAGGGGAAAGAAAAACACTAAATTTACTTACACTACTTGGAGGTTTGACCAAAGAGGACTTGCAGACCCCCGGGGCTTCCTCCCGCTCCATCAAATCCTTTACACACGAACTTTTTCTTTTGTCGTATATTCGACCGACCACCTCCCAGTACCCTTTTTTGCCACCACCACCTCCTTTTCATTTACCCGGGGGAGACTTAAAGATCTAAAAATTTTAATAATCTGAGCGCAGTTATGTACTGTTTTGCTTTTTAAGATGAAAGAATCCAGTAATCTTTGCACTGACCCCCCGGGGACCACTTCAAGAAAAAAAAATCAAAAAATAATACACAAATAAAACTTCACATTTTTTGGGGCCAAAGAAAATAGCCTTTTTTTTGGTTTCTTTATATTTTTAATTTAAAATTGAAATCACTTTTAAAATTTTTGGGAAAAAAAACAATTACAGGGTTAAATTTAAAGGGACGGGGTTAAATCTTGACCAAAGCCACATAAACTTAGTTACACCATTCCGGACACAGTTCACGGTATAACAAACACGGACACAACAAACAGGGGACCCACAAACGGGGGACACAACAAACGGGGGGACACAAAAAACGGGGGACAAGTAAACGGGGACACAAAAAAACGGGACACAAAAACGGGGGAACCCCAAAACAAACGGGGGCACGTAAACGGGGGACACAACAAACAGGACACAGTAAACGGGGACACAACAAAAAAGGGGCACATAAACGGGGGGAACAACAAACGGGACACAGTAAACGGGGGAAACAACAAACACAACACAACAAACAGGGGACATAACAAACAGGGGACACAATAAACAGGGACACAAAAAACGGGGGACCAACAAACAGGGACACAAAAAACATACCAACAAACACACACAACAAACACGGCACAACAAACGGGGACACAAAAAACAGGGGACACAACAAAAACACAATAAACAACACAATAAACGGGGGAACAGAAAACCCGGGACACAACAAACCCGGGGGACACAACAAACACTGCACAAAAAAACGGGGGACAAAAAAAAACGGGGCACAGCAAACGGGGGAACAACAAACTCGGCCAACAAAGAGGGGAAACAACAAACACCTAACAACAAACCGGACACAACAAACAGGGGCACCAAACAGGGGACACAACAAACAGGGACACAAAAAACAGGGACACAAAAAACGGGGACACAGTAAATAGGGACACAACAAACAGGAAAGGGGTAAACGGAACACAACAAACAGGGGACACATAAACAACACAACAAACGGGGGACACAACAAACGGGGGACACAAAAAAAGGGACACAGCAAACGGGGAACAAAAACACGGACACAACAAACACGGCCAAAAAACACGGGACAGAAAAAACAGGGCACAAAAAACACGGGACCAACAAACGGGGGACACAAAAAACGGGGGACACAAAAAACAGGGACACAGTAAAGGGGGGCACAACAAACGGGGGACACATAAACAGGAAAACCAACAAACGGGGGACACTAAAGGGGGACACAAAAAAAGGGCACAGTAAACAGAGCCCCCAAAAACAGGGACACAACAAAAGGGGGAACAAAAAACTCGGGACAAAAACCCGGGGACTCCACAACACGGGGACAAAACAACCGGGGACACAACAAACTGGGGACCAAACAGGGGGACCCCAAAAAAACCCGGGGACAAAACAACACAACCCAAACTGGGGACACAACCGGGGACCCAAAACAGGGGACACAACAAGCAGGGGACACAACAAACTGGGGACACAAACACAAACTCCACAAACACGGGAAAAACAACACACACAACAAACTCAAACCAAACACACACAACAAGCACGGACACAACAAACTCGGAACAAAACGGGACCCACAAACACGGGACACAACAAGCAGGGGACACAAAAACCGGACCAAACAGGGGACCCAAAAACCCGGGGACACAACAAGCGGGGACACAAAAACTCGGGACACAAACACGGGACTCCACAAACAGGGGACAAAAACAACACGGACACAAAAAACCCGGGGACACAAACAGGGGACTCCCAAACACGGACAAAACAAGCAGGGGACACAACAATTTCCGGACACAAACACGGAACCCCAAAAACAGGGGACACAACAACAGGGGACCAAAAAACCCCCGGGGACAAAAAACCACGGACCCAAAAACAACGGTTATCCTTTTAAAACTGTGTTACTAAAACGGGTTTTCTTTACCTACGGGTATTCTTACTAGCGGGTTAGTTTCTTCCCTAGCTTTATTCTTACCTACTTTTATTTTCTTTACCTACTGCTAGTTTAAAAATACGTTATTTTCTACCTACTGTTATTTTTTACCTGGGGCTATTTCGTACCTACTGGTTATTTCTCCCCCTACGGTTTATTCGTACCTAGCGGGTTAGTTCTTACCACGGGTATTCACCTACGGTTTAGTTCTTCTAGCGGGCTAGCGTCCACGGGCTATTCGACCTAGGGTAGTTCTTCCTACTGGATTTCTTACCTACTCTTTTTTTACCTAGCTTTTTATTCTTACCTAGCGGGTTTATTTTTACCTACTGGTATTCTTACCTACGGGCTATTCGAAACCTACGGGTTAGTTGACCTACTTGTTTTTACCTAGCGGCTATTCGTACCTAGCTGGTTATTCTCCTGCTGCTATTCGTACCTACTGGCTATTCTACCTAGCTGTTTTTTTATCTGCTAGTTCTTACCTAGCGGGTTAGTTCGACCTAGCTGGTTATTCTTACCTAGGGGGCTATTCTTACCTAGCTGGTTAGTCTTCCCTACTGGTTGTTTTTACCTACTGGCTTTCGTCCCTACGGGTTTTAGTTCTTACCTACTGGTTCGTTCTACTACGGTTATTTTCTTCCTACGGCTAGTTCTTACCTAGCTGCAGTTTTACCTAGCTGGTTATTTCCCTTACCTACTTTATTCTTACCAGCTGCTAGTTCGTACCTATCTTTTTCTTACCTAGCGGGTTATTCTACCTACGGGCTAGTTCGTACCCTAGCGGGTTAGTTCTTACTACGGCTAGTTCTACCTAGCGGCTATTTTCGTACCTAACGGGTTATTCCCTAGCGGCTATTCTTACCTACTGGTTAGTTTTCCCTACGGGCTAGTTCGTACCTACTGGTTTTCGTACCTACTGGTTAGTTCTTACCTAGCTGCTAGCACCTAGCTGGTTATTTTCTTACCTTGCGGCTAGTTCGCCCTACGGGCTAGTTCGACCTAGCGGGTTATTCTTACCTAGCGGGTTATTCAAACCTAACGCATTTTTACCTGGGGGGGTTAGTTCTTACCTACTGTTATTCTTACCTACTGCTGTTCTACCTACTGGCTAGTTTTTACTAGCTGGCTATTCTTACTACTGGAAATTCGTACCTACTGTTGTTTTTACCTACGGGGTTATTCTTACCTACGCTGGGTCTACCAGCTGGTTTTAGTTCTTACCTCGGGTTAGTTCTCCCTAGCTGTTAGTCGACCTACGGGCTATTCTTACCTAGCTGGCTATTCTTCCCTACGGGTTTTAGTTCTTACCTAGCGGTTATTCTTCCCAGCTGGCTAGTTTTTCCCTACTTTATTTCTTCCCTAGCTGGTTAGTTCTTCCCTTTCTGGCTAGTTCTTACCTAGCGAGATTCTTACCTAGCTGGTTAGTTCTTGCCCAGCGGGTTAGTTCGTCCCAAAACGGGCTATTCTTACCTAGCGGCTATTCTTCCCTACGGGCTAGTTGTACCTAGCTGGCTAGTTCTTACCCAGGGGGCTAGTTCTTACCTGTGGTTAGTTTTTCCCCTACTGGCAGTTCTTCCTAGCTGGTAGTTCTTCCCTACGGGCAAATTCTTACCTAGCGGGTTAGTTCTTACCTAGCGGCTAGTTTTTTACCTAACTGGTTTTATATTTGTTTTTACCCTGGGCTGTTTTTGGGGTTTCTTACCAGGGCTAGTTCTTACCAAACGGCTAGTTCTTACCTAGCGGGCTATTCTTACCTAACTGGCTAGTTCTTCCTACTGGCTAGTTTTTACCTAGCGGGCTATTCTTACCTACGGGCTAGTTCTACCTAGCGCTATTTTGTACCTACGGCATTCGTACCTAGCTTTAAAGGTGAGCCCAAACCTCGTGGGCATGGAGGTGCCGGTTCTTCGCTAAATTTTTCAGAGAATTTAGGAGGCTTTTTTCCGGGGTTGGATCAAAAAGTGTCAAATCCTAAGACCCTTTTGATCTTTTCCAGCTGAAACGCAGTTGATAGACCACCTGCGTACTGATCCATTACTGATTGATTTCCCCCCATTTCCCCCACTGGTCCACTTCCACTCCACCCCCAGTGTGAATTAACGTTCCTACCTCCTTGAATTCCAGTTCCCCCCCCCGTTGAATTCCAGTTCCCCCCCCCAGTTGAATTTCCCGCCCACCTCCAGTTAATTCCATTCCCACCCCAATGAGAACTCCATTCCCACCTCCTTGAAATTCCAGTTCCCCCCCGTTTAATTCCAGTTCCCACCTCCAGATGATGAATTCCCGTTAGTTCTCTTTTTGAGCCACCCCCATTTATCCATCCGATCCGAACTATCTCTGACCATCCCCATTCCTCCTGAGCCATTCCTTTCCATCACCACTCCTCCTGAACCAACCCCACCATCCCCACCCCCTCTGATCCACTCCAGCCCGATCCACCCCATCCCCTAAACCCCCCAGTCTCCTGATCCACCCCATCCTCCTGATCCCTCCAGACCCGATCCCCCCCCCACCTCCTGGGGCCCCACCCACCCCATCCCCTGGCCTCCAGGTCCACCCCATCCTCCTGTCCTCCCCGGCCCCCCCCTCCTCCTGGTCCTCCAGGTCCACCCCATCCTCCTGGTCCTCCAGGTCCACCCCATCCTCCTGGTCCTCCAGGTCCACCCCATCCTCCTGGTCCTCCAGGTCCACCCCACCCTCCTCCACGTCCTCCGAAGGTTTCTCCTCCTCCAGGTCCTCCGAAGGTTTCTCCTCCTCCAGGTCCTCCGAAGGCTCCTTGCACTCCTGGACATGAACACACGGCTACTTTGTCCCACACGAAGAAGCCAGTTACTGGGTTTTGCTCGCCGTAGTAAACTCCTTCGTTATCTGTAAGTGCAAAACAACCAGTCAGTATGACTGTGAAACATGTATCCATTTTTGGTTTTTAAAAATGATACAGATTTAAAAAAGTAGGGGAAACTGAGGGGTAAGGGGTAGCACTGATTGTTAGAGGCTTGATATCCCAGGCTTGATAAGCGGTTTAAAAAATGGCGGCTTTTGGGTTGCATGGCAGACAAACTGTTTGGGGGTGAGCAAGGTAACATTTAGAAGGGATCAGGAAAACTGGTTAGCTGGACTTTAGTCCCCGGGACCTTACTCTGAGCGACAAGTGGAGATGTTCATTTCGAGCGTCATCTGAAAATTTTTAGACGAGACTACTGCTAATGATGGGGGCGGGGGTTGAGATGCCGGGGAAAAGAGGAGAGTGTCAGAAGGTAAAAGGGGGGACTCTATTATTATTTTTATATTAATTTTTATTTTAAATTTTTTAAATTTTTATTATTATTAATTATTATTTTTAATATTATTATTTTTTATTATTATTATTATTATTATTTTATTAATTTTTTTTTTTACAGTCAGAACTAAGCCCTCAGAGGAAGGGGGATCCCCAACACTCTGATTTGATTCCACCCATCTACTCTATATTCTCAAAACCTGCCCTCTACACATTCTAAAATAAATTTACCAATTGAAAAGTATAATTTATAATCTTTAAACTTATATATATTTTTAAATATATTTAATAAATATTATATATATATAATATAAAAATATATATATATAAATAAAGTATATATTACTTTTTTTTCTTTCAGCAACCCGGGGGTATCCCCCCGAGGCAGGGGGGCCCAAAAGCAAAAACGAAATTTTTTCCTTTTTTTATTTAGTAAAATTAAAGGGGGAAGGGTTACTAGCCCCTTTTCTCCCCATTTTAGTCGCCTCTACAACACGCATGCTTCGGGGGAAAATTTTTTTTCCACTTCCCCATGGAAAAGAGGGAAAAAAACAAGAAAAAACAGAAAAAAATAGAAAAACCCCGAGGGGGGGTGTATATAAACTTGTACATGTATTTAGGGGCCTAATGTAATAGAAGTACAAGACGTACTTTAAACCTCATTGTAGAGACAGAAAAAAGGACACTACAACCCCCATCATGTAAAAAATTACAGGCTTTCGTTTTTTACCCTTGGCAGGGCGTAGTAAAATCCCTGGGCGGTTGCTGTCTACCCAAACCTACTACCTATATATAAAACATATATATACACACACCACCTATAATACACACACACAATTTCAAAACAGTTTTAAATTATTTTCAGCCATATAAATAGCATTAAAAATGTTAATGGACACACTCCCCACACTGAAAACTTAAGACAATGTGCAACACTTGGGGGTATTTATCGACACATATTGCAACCTTGGGGATATTTATCGTACCATATGTGCAAACTTGGTATATTTATCGTACAATATGCAACACTTGGTATATTTACGTACACATATGTGCAACACGTAGTATATTTATCCCAAACGATTCCTCTACACGCAACATACCTTTATTTTAATACAACACGTGTTATTTAAATATTTCCCCACCAGTCTTCGCTGGGAACGCCCTAGTACAGAGTATTTAAATTGTCTACATCGTAATCCTCTAGTATACGGGGAAAGGATACATAAAACTTCTCGGTATCTGGAAAACATACAGACAAGGATGAAAAGTTTTAAAGCTCTATACACCTTTGTCCCTTTGTATGTTTGCCACACTTTATACATATGTAACAAGTCAACTGGAAATTTTATATAAAAAATCGTGTATGGGAAATGTTTCGTACAGTCATAAATCTATGGGAGTGGGTAGTGACAGGGAGTAGCGTGGTAGCAAAAATATACCACTTTTAGCACGATATTTTTGGTAGTAACAGGGATAGCTGTGGGACATTTCCCCCCCCACTTTTAGACTGATATTGTGGGAAAAACATTAGTAGCTGGGTAGCAATACCTATACCACGGAAAACACGATGTTGTGGTATAAAAGTGGAGAGCTGTGTAGCAATAAATCCCACTTTCACATTTTGGGAAACAGGGGGTAGGTGGTAAAAACATGGAGACTGTGGAGCAAAAGTCCCACTACCACTGGTACACTGATATTTTTTGAGAAAAAGTGGAGAAGTGGTAGCAATATCCCCACACCACTGGGACACGTATTTGGTATAACAGTGGTAAGCTGTGGGAGCAATAGAAAATACACCACGGTAGCACGGTAGTTTGGGGGTAACGGATAGCTGTGGTTTGCAAAAGAAATACCCATGGGAGCACGGTAATTGTGGTATAAAGTTTATCTGTGGTAAATACTACTACCACTTTTAAATGGTAGTTTTGGGAAAAACATTTGGTATAGCGTGGTAGCAATAGCATACTACCACTTACACTGATAATTGTGGGGGAAAAGTGGTAAAAGCGTGGTCAAAAGCATACACCACTGGCACTGATTGGGTAGTAACGGGATAGTGTGTAAAAATAGCAGTACTACCACTGGTACACTGGTAGTTTTGGGAGTAACAGTGGTAGTAGCTTTGTGGGACTAGCAGTCTACCACTGGGAGAGTGGAATTGTTGAAAAAACCGTGGAGAGTGTGGTAGCATAGTTACTACCACGGGAAGGAATTGTGGTAGTAAAGTGGTAGTAGCTTGGAGCAATACAACAACCCTTTGGGAGCCTGGAATAGTGGTAGTTGTGGTAGAGGTGGGAGCAAAGAATACACCACGGTAGCACTGTAGTTGGTATTTTTTTGGGGAGTAGCTGGTAGAATACAGTACTACACGGTACATGGTATTTTGTTGGAAATAACTTTGGGAGCAATAGCAACTACCACTTTAGCACGGGTATTGGGAGAAAGTTTGTGGTAGCAATAATACCCACTGGTAGATGTATTGTGGTAACAATAAAATACTACCCCCCCGGTACCACGGTAATGGTATTGGGAGTAGTTAAATGGTAAAAATACATACACCAATGGTACAAATGGGCAGTTTTTTGGGAGTAACGGGTAACAATAAATACTACCACTGGAGATGGTATTGGGGAATAAAAGTGGTAACAATAAATATACCACTGGTAGATGTATTTTTGGGGAGTAACAGGGGTAACAATAACACAAATACCACTGGGACATGGTAATTTTGGGAGTAAATGGAACAAAACAAAACTAACTGTGAAAGAATAAATAATGGTAATTTTGAGAAAGCAAGAATTTTGGTCCCTGGAGTGTACTTAAAAAGGGTCCAAGGAACAAACTTAACCAAGGGTAAAAAAGGTTTGTGTCCCTTTTCCTTATTAAGTGGACAGAGACCTGGTACATTTCCGGGGTATTTTTTTTAAAAGAAACATTTGCCCCGATTCTTACTTAAAATACAACATTTGAAAACTTTTTGGGAAAGTTTAACCCTGGCTTCTTTCCCAAAAACCCAAAAACTGGTAAAAGGTTTTGGGTAGTCAGTTCAATCCCCTCACTTTAACCGTTTTGCGTATTGGACAAAACCCCCTGGGATGGCGAAACGTTTCCTCCAGTTTCCTTCATTTACCTTCCTACCAAATCTGGAAATTCACAGGCGTTCTGCCTCCCACAGTCTGGCCGTATCATTTACGACCGCTGGTCGCAGCAGCAGCAGCAGCTCGGGTTGCACTTACCAAGGATCCAGTAGACGGGTCTTCTTTTGTTGACTGACAGAGACTTCATGAAATCCTTTAGGGGATCCTGGAAGAAGGATGTGTCTTTCTTATCCTCATCCAAATCAATCCCTGACATCAGGTTTACATCCTTCTGTGCTAACCTGTGTGAGTAGGAGCCCGGTTAAAATAGTTCAGACTAAGTTTACTATCATACAGCCTATTTCGTAGACTCAGGGTACTCAAGAATTATGCTTGCTCATGGAGCCTATTGAGTAGGCTTACTCGGTGATGAATAAATGAGAGTAATTGATTTTATTTAGTTTAAATTTATTATACGTTAAACACACCGAAGGCATATTCGAAATTTCGTGAACTGCAAAAAATTATATGTTAAATTCACGGAATTAATGTGTTTTAATGATTTAATTAGTGCTAGAAATCATCCATAATGACACGAATGTAATCATACCGAACGGAAGTGGCTGATCAAGTGTAAACAGAGACCCTCTGTTCGGGAGTTCTTGATAGACGTCAGGTTAGGTAAGATGTGTCAGGAAATAGGACAAGTGCTTCCTGACGCGGGTCTTAGTCATATGATGACCTGCCACTGGAGTTTTTATTCTGGTTATCTGACCGAGGACTTCCACTGGCTTACCCCTCCACCCCTTTAAATATTATAATTATAATCATTTAATCTCTTGAGGTACACAGAGTTAGACCAGGCTGGACTGCACATGTTTTAGCAAGGTTAAGCCAGGCTGCTGAGTCAGTTTTGGTGCAGAATATACAAACAATACGTACCTCGGCGCTAGTTGGAGCATCATACACAACCAGACGACATTACGATAGAGGTGTTGTGCTTTATACAAATCACGTCAAAATCGCATCCAAACATTCTTACTCACGTTAGTGTCCAACTGTTTTGTAAAGTGACCTCAAGTGCTCACATCACAGACTTCTTTTCAGTTTATAAATTATTCACAACCAGATATGCCGGTAATAACAGTGTTGGCCACACCAACATCTACTGGAGCAGTAATTATCCATAGTGACTGGTACAGTTTCCTGGTCATGCACACGTGATGCGGTTAATTTACGTATCATCTTGCCTGAGAAATTTACAATTTAGTACTATGCTCACACTATACTTCCATAAATTAACTGAGATCATAAAGAGATCGTAAACAGAATTGCACCACAGTCTTGGAACGGTACTGTTGGACTGTGGAAGAAGCCATATGGTTGGCTTAGTGATTCCCAGTCAACTTTGTTAATAATGGCTTAATAAAGACATTATGGCATTCTTCAGGAAGGCGTTTCGTCCGTCTGACTTTCTTAACCTTCATACAAAAGAATATAACTCGATGTAATAAGAACAGAGTCAGAATCAATGATCAGGTGAGATGAGTTAGATGCCTGTTATGATGCACCTTTAGTACTTGTAGCAATACACCGGTATAAAGGATCATGGTACTAAAACTTCAGATAAGGGCCATTGTTTGTATTATAGACTAAGCTACTTAATCGCAAGTTTTTCTTTCGCAGATCCTCGTCTTCAGCAACGTCCTACTTTCTTCACTTCATAAGTGTTCTTTAGTCTGTTGAACCGCACAAGCAGTGGCCCGGTATCTGGTCGCATGTATATGTGTTCCCTCAATCTCTGGTCCAAGTTTACTGGTGTATTTGACGGCATACACTTCATTATATCCTCACAACACGTAATAACATCCACTCCCGCCCTGGTTTCTGCCTCCCTCGTTTTGCTAACCAAGACAAGACGAGCCAGTGACAACATTCGGTTTGTGATTAGTAAGAACATGAGCAACATTACTGGCCTCTTTTGCCACTGGCAGAACAATATTATCTGGTTGGTTAACGTCGTCATGTGGCTGTTTTGATTAAGCCGTGTGCAAGCTTCCGTCATTCAGAGGTAAAACGGCAAATTCCAGTTGCTAAAATCATCCTCTAGGAAGCAATGGACTTTAAATTCCCATTCCCGGATGTCCTTCTAGCTATATGCAACGAAGAACTTATCATCAAAGTAAACAGGAAATCCGCAAGCAAGGACGACCTGATATTTTTCCCTCTCAAAAATGACACTCTTACTACAAGAGACGTTGATATCAGGTTCTTTTTCACAGTCCATAGGATCTGCCGCCCATATTACCTCGAACAGAATCGTGACATTTTGAAAGCATTTATATGCCTCCAGTTTCCTTCACGTTTTATCTCTGACCACATGTTTCTTTGCATTATAAACGCAGCCACGAGAGAAAGTTTCCTTAGCCAGGTATGTCGTTCTGTCGGTAGGTGAGGTAGAAAGCAACATTCTCTCAAGTTGTAACAACAAACTGAACGTAGTCTCCACCAGCTCGTCACACACTAGGAAGGTCCTGTTTTTCTTACAGGAAAAAGTAAAACCATGGCAGGAATGTGTGTTGTTTTGCGTGGTGGGTATGATATATATTTGGGCACAACATCCAGGAGCTTAGACCGGTGATTCAAGGAGCATAGCCACGCATGAAGCAAAGACCACCAGGCTGACGCTTGCATGGTCCATCACACTTACAAAGACACCTAAGGAAGTGGGGAAAAAGTTAGTTTGTGGCCCATGGAGAGTGATTTGCAGAAACTTCGCCGTCTTGAGGCAGCCATGGTCATAGGGTGCTAAACAGCAACCTAAAACTCTGGAAATTTTAGCACTTCAGCTGTTCATAATTCCACGGTCAACTCCCTCCTACCTACACCCACTCTGTTTACCACATTTTAACTTTGACCATTTCTACTGTAGCTTCCTTCCTACCTATAAAGAAGAATGAGCTCAGCTACTAAAGAATTACTTGACATAATCACTTAGCATAAAATATAATAATATAGCAGACATTAAACAGAAATTAAAATTACGAACAGAATATAAAACAATATACAATACAAATACTCACTCTTCTTATGAAGCTGATAATAACTGCTCTGTCTTTATTGATGACATCAATGTACTTGAGTGTAACATTGAGTAACACCTGCGCAGACTTCCTGTCTGTTATAGCATTCATCACCATTGTTGATACATTTGTCTTAATGAAGGCGGCCATAGCATCAGCCGTCGCCTGCGTCATGTTGGCCAGACTGTCAATGGTGGTCAACTGCGCGTCTTCAATGTATTCCCTGGAAGGAAGCAAGATTGACTTAAGATTTATAAATAAATAATATAGTGTTTAACAATGCTACAGAAGCAAGATGTACACTTGAAAGACTTTTTTTTTTTTTTATTCGCCGGTATTCTCCCAGCCCGGGTCTTTTCCAAGTAGTGGTGATCCGGCCTTGGCTCCCTATCTGGGAATGTCTCGAGAACCTAAGTCTCCCATGGGAGGAGGTACAAGTACCCCCTCATCTTTGGAACCAACTGTCCCCAGGCCTAGCCACATTCCCCGTCCTCACGGGGCTCGTAGATTGAAAGAACTTTGGTCTCCCGTGTGTGTCTCACAGATGCGTGTTTCTCTAGTGTATCTAGACAAGTTTATATTACTCTTTTGTTATAGGAATTAACTTTATGTTGATGTCAATATACTGGTATAGAAAAATATTTAAGAGAAATAATTTAAACTATGCAAAAGAATGACAATCTTGATTCACAGATTCTTGACGCTGTGATAAAGATTTGATAAATCCCACTATGTGGGCGAAACGTAGTCAATAAATCACATTATATTGCTTTTATATTTATTTTTCCTAGGAATACCTAACCTAATAATAAATTCCAAGAGTGGCTGATGCATTGTTGACATGCTAGGTGCTACTTAGCAATACTTACTCTATCGCCGAGAAGGCTCCCACTTTCATTAAGACTCTCCCAAACTTAGCAAATTTTTTCATCTGGTTGGTGGTTATCAAGGTGTAGATGTCCTTGATGGCCTGGCGGGTTGAGAGCGGCAGGAAGCTCAGCTCCACCATGTCTTCAGGCGCCGCACCGCTGGCTAGTCTCAGCTCCACCTTCTTCAGTAACATCATCATCATTCTGTCTCTATGGCCGCCGCCCCCTTTGCCGCCGCCGCCGCTGCCGCCGCCGCCGCCGCCGCCGCCGCCGCCGCCAAACCTATTTCGAAAATAACCGAAGTTTAGAGAAGAATTTATGTTACTCGTGTAACACAGAATTATATTTTATTCACTTGTTTATATTAATTTATGTGAAATATTTTTGCGAGAAAAAAAGTCTGAGTATATGAAACTTAATTTAGTAGCAGGAAATAAGTTCTATGAAATTAAAAATCCCCCCAAAAATACCATTGAGAAAAGATCCACATGGAGTCAGTGTAATAATAATATAATAATAATCTTTATTTCTACCAATACATGATACAGCTTATAAAGACCATAGCCGACATCAATAATATACTGTTATATAGAATGCCCCTGGTTATACAGAGCATTTCGAACAACCTAGGTTAATTTTATCCCCAGGATGCGACCCATACCAGTCGGCTAACACCCAGGTACCTACTTACTGCTAGGTGAACAAGGGCAGCAGGTATCTTAAGGAAACACGCCCCAGCGTTTCCTCCCGTACCGGGGATCGAACCACGGAACCTCTGTGAGCTGAGTGCGCTACCAACCGAGCTACGGAACACCGTAGTTAAAATTGCTTTCAACTGTTGCAGCAACTTAGATAACGAGAGTCACACAGGATGCCTTCACCTGCCTCAACAACACTTGGCTAGAAAAAAATACAGCTACCACATAGTTAATATGTGCTGTTTAACCCGTACGGGCTAAGAGCTTCCCCATGATTCTAGTAATCATAAATACTGGTCTATATGACTAAAGTCTCAAGCGGCCAATACTGGACATCATGTGTCAGTGCTGGACATCATGTGTCAGTGCTGGACATCATGTGTCAGTGCTGGACATCATGTGTCAGTGCTGGACATCATGTGTCAGTGCTGGACATCATGTGTCAGTGCTGGACATCATGTGTCAGTGCTGGACATCATGTGTCAGTGCTGGACATCATGTGTCAGTGCTGGACATCATGTGTCAGTGCTGGACATCATGTGTCAGTGCTGGACATCATGTGTCAGTGCTGGACATCATGTGTCAGTGCTGGACATCATGTGTCAGTGCTGGACATCATGTGTCAGTGCTGGACATCATGTGTCAGTGCTGGACATCATGTGTCAGTGCTGGACATCATGTGTCAGTGCTGGACATCATGTGTCAGTGCTGGACATCATGTGTCAGTGCTGGACATCATGTGCCAAAGTTTAAAAAGACATCTTGTATCTGTGTACACACTTTATATTATTCTTAAAGTCACAAAAAAAACTGATAAGTATGGGTACACTTCAGAACAAAATCATAATATCAGAAATCACAATTTTCAAAAAATTATGCAAGTCATTCTTCCCTCCCTAAAAAAATTAAAATTTAAAGATACTCACCGAGGACCACGTCCGCGTTGTCTTCCCCTGGGACCGTAGCCATTATCAGGAGGTCCGGGATACTGTCTTGAAGAGTAGCCGAAGTTATTTCTATCATCTCCGTTTTCTCGACTATCGAAGTTTTCCTCATCTGAGTTGTTATCACCGCCGGAAAAGTCTTCTGAGCTTGAGAAGTCTTCCGTGCTCGCTCCATCGTCGTCTCCCGTGTCATAGTAATCTGTTTCTTCCATATTCGAGTGATATTTATGTCTTCTTCGGCCATTCCAGGTTCTGTTACGTATTCCAGTTCCATCTTCTGAAGATGAAAAAATGGAAAAATACATTGACTTTTTAGGAAATTATATAGCACGAGCCAGGAACCATTTAGTAAACACCTCTATTAGGAGTTTATTGAAACTAATGCCGACTATCAGCGTTTGTCTGGCGACTGAATGACCCGAGTTTGAATCCAGGGCAAGACAAGCCATGTGATCAACTCTAACATCTGTTGTCCTGTTCACCTAGCACATCATAGATGTCTAGGAGTTAGTTAAATCTCGTGGGTCACATCTGAGGAAAGAGGACCTAGAAACTTTCAGGAAAATATACCACTGTCTTTGGTTTGTGTTATCCTGGCTTATTAACCCTCCGAAAGTTATCATACACTATGTAGTTATTATTGTAGAGTCTGTGGAGTATGTTATCGTTCATTCTGTCAAATTATTGTACCTTGTCAAAAAAATAATTGTACATTGCCAATCAGTTAATATTATTCATTATATCAGATTGTTACTCTTGTCAAGTTAATATTGTACTTTCTGTCAAATTATTATTGATCATTCTATCCAGTTATTTTCGTACCTTGTGTCCAGTTATATGAGTCTCCGAAGCGACGACTGACACCTTCCCTCCTCCTGGCACTCGTGGTGTAACTGGTGTCTGAATGTTCGTGGTCTCCCTCGGCCCTGTGTCAATGAGAGAAGAAAGTCTGATGGGACCTAGACACGGTAGGCAAAGAAAGGAATATAACATCACTAGACTTGAAAGTTCACAATCTTGGACGACAAAATTCTTCCTCGGTACCTCACATAGGTTCTTTATGTCAAGGAATCGGCCACATCCCACCGAGGCAGGGTGACCTAAAAAGACAAACAAAAGCTTCTCTTTTAAACTTTAGTGATTTATACAGGAGAAAAGGTTACTAACCGCTTGCTTCCTGCATTTTATTCCCCTCTTACGACACTCATGGCTTATGGAGTAAGAATTCTGCTCCACTCTCCCATGGATCTTACGACACGCATGGCTTACGGAGGAAGAATTCTGTTCCACTCTCCTATGGAGTTACATAGCTTATGTAGGTTTAAAAAACTAATCTTTCTCTGTATTGTGTTGGTGTAATGATCGCTAAGCGACTTGACAGAATGAAGAAGACTCACCCCTGAGCTTCGCTGATGTGACGCAGTCCACCGCCCGTTTGTCCCCGGGGCGCCGTCTGCCTCTTTGACCGAGATGGCGCTCCATTATTAAATGATCCTGGTCCACCAGGTGGTCCATTTCCACCGGATGATCCCCATCCATTAGACTGCCCATTTCCACCGGATGATCCCCAGCCATTAGATTGCCCATTTCCACCGGATGATCCCCATCCATTAGATTGCCCATTTCCACTGGATGATCCCCATCCATTAGATTGCCCATTTCCACCGGATGATCCCCATCCATTAGATTGCCCATTTCCACTGGATGATCCCCATCCATTAGATTGCCCATTTCCACCTGATGGTCCCCAGCCATTAGATGGTCCATTTCCATCGGATGGTCCATTTCCATCGGATGGTCCATTTCCATCGGATGGTCCATTTCCACCGGATGATCCCCATCCATTAGATTGCCCATTTCCACTGGATGATCCCCATCCATTAGATTGCCCATTTCCACCTGATGGTCCCCAGCCATTAGATGGTCCATTTCCATCGGATGGTCCATTTCCATCGGATGGTCCATTTCCACCGGATGATCCCCATGAATTAGATGGTCCATTTCCACCAAATGATTCTGGTCCACCATACGATCCCATTCCATCTGGTGGTCCATTTCCACCAAATGATCCCGGTCCACCAAACGATCCCCATCTATTTGGTCGTCCATTTCTGCCAAATGGTCCCATTCCATCAGGTGGTCCCATACCACCAAATGGCCCGCTTCCACCAGATAAGCCCATTCCACCAAACAGTTCAAATTCTCCAAACGAACCCATCCCCCCGGAACAAATGAGCGAAGCCCTGGGTCCGAACTGATGTCTCATCATGTGGTTGATGTTCATGGCCAGCATCTTGAGGGCCAGGTAGCGTAGGACGCCATCCTTCATCATGGCTTGGCCCGTCAGATCACTGACAAGACTCAGTATCTGAAGTACTTGCTTGTGATCTTGCGTCTCGTTTGCAGTCTGTCGACATCAACGTTATGATTAAATGCAGGTGGGAGGCTGGAGGGAGGTTGAAAGGAAGCCGGAGGGAGGCTGGAGAGAGGCTGGAGGGAGGCTGGATTGATGGAAGCTGGAGGGAGACTGGAGGAAGGCTGGAGAGAGGGTGGAGGGAGGCCGGAAGGAGCCTGGAGAGAGGCTGGAGGGAAGCTGGAGAGAGGCTAGAGGTAGGGAGGTTATAGGGAGGCATTTCACCCTCAACGAGGTACCTGTGATACGACTGTGACTTGTTTTTAGGGGTTTAGTATCATCGGGGCTAAGACTGTAGCATCAGACATACTCAGGCCAAGTTACCCTAGCGTCATTCTACATCGATGCAACAACGAATATGCATGCATAATCCTACTCTTTATTATTCATGACACTTGTGGTCAAACTGATTCTATTACACAAAGTTTTGCTCCAAGATTAGCAAAAAGTTGTAGATTTGAAGTCTTGTTCTGTTATGTGTTTGAATTTCCAATTATTTTCGCTAATGGCTTTCTTTGTGCTTAAGAGTGTTTTCCTACATGTAAACTGCACATTATATACCAAGTAAAGAAATCAATTTTTGTATTTGAACTTGAAATATTGACTAAAAATGTAGCTAGGTCACATAAACATGTTAAAAAATGTACAGAGAGAAAAAAAACAAGGAAAATACTTTATTTTTAATGGTCAACTTGACCTCAAGAAAAATCAGATTACGGATTAAACCTAAGATCGTTGGGATCAATAAAAAAAATCATAATATTGGAGAAATAATTTCAAATTTGTTTTCTTTGGCTCTTAAGATTTTATTGAGAGACACATTCTGACAATATAGCTTCTAGGTGACTAATGAATCAGAATCACAAACTAAGATTCTAGACACGAGTGGTAACCACAGACCTGACACTTACTGGCATATTTAGCTGCTGCATATCTGCCAGGAGAGTGTCTACCACTCTCTTAGCCGCCATTATAAGTGAGGCATTGCTTGCAGCAGTATCGTTGAAGGTTCCTGAGGGACACAGACCGAGAACCTCGAGTCTGACGGTGCGGTCGCTGGCCCAGTTGTACTGCATCGATCTCACCTCCACTTCCAACTTGGACGCGGAAACGATGCCTCGCTTGTGTCCCTTGCCCTAGCACAATGATCAAATTATTAGCTGTTGTGACTAATATATGTGTTATTAGTACCAGATTGTAATATGTAATTACTACCAATGAATAATAACCCATCAGAAGAGCTTGAGAGTGCTGCCTGATTCAGTGTATGAAAAAAAAAAATTTTAAAAAAATTTTAAAAATCCGGAAAACCCCCCTTTTTTTATTTAAAAACCCCAAAAAAAAAAAATTTTTTTTCCCCCTTTTTTTCCCCCGGGGGGGTTTTTTTAATTTTTTTTTTTTGGGTTTAAAAAAAATTTTGGAATTTTTTTGGGTTTTTTGGTGTTTTTTTCCATTTTTTAAAAAATTTTTTTTTTAAAAAATTTTTTTAAAATTTGAAAAAAAAAAAAAGTAAAAATTAATTTTTTTTAAAAAATTTAAAAAAAAAAAAGGGGAAAAAAATTTTTTAAAAAGGAAAAGGGAAAAAAAAAAAAATTTTTTTTTTTTTAAAATTTTTTCCCCCCAAAAAAAAAAAAATAGGGAAAAATTTAAATTTGGGTTTTTTAAAAAAAAATTTTTTTAAAGAAAATTTTTTTTTTTTTAAAAATTTAATTAGAAACCCCCCGGGCCGGGGAAAAACCAAAAAACGGTTTTAAAAGGGGCCCCCCGCCGGAAATTTTCCCCCTTTTACCCTTTTTTTAAAAAATTTTTCCCCTTTCGGGGGGAAAAAAAAACCGGCCCCCTTTAAAGGTTTTGGGCCCGGGAAACCTCAAACCCCTTCCTTCCCCCCCAAAAACCCCCCTTTTTTCCCCCCCTTTTGGCCAAAAAAACCCCCCCCTTTTTTTTTTTTTTTTTTTAAAAAATTTTGGTTTAAAAAAAAATTTTTTAATAAAATTTAAAAATTTCCCCCCCTTTAACCCGGAAAAAAAAATTTTTGGGGGTTAAAAAAAAAATTTTTTTTGGGGAAAATCCCCCCCTTTTTTTGGGGTTTTTTTTTTTTTGGGGTGAAACCTTTTTGGGGGGTTTTTTTAAAAGGGTTTTTTTTAAAAAAAAATTTTTTCCCCAAAAAAAATTTCCCCCCCCTTTTCCCCCCAAAAAAAATTTTTTCCCCAAAAAAAAGGGCCCCCCAATTTTTTTTTTTTAAAAATTTCCCCCCGGGCCCCGGGTTTTCCCCAAAAAAAATTTTTAAAAAAAATTTTTAAAAAAGGGGGAAAAAAAATTTTTTTTTTTTTTAAAAAAAAAAAAAAATTTTTTAAAAAAAAAAAAAAAAAATTTCAAAAAAAAATAAATATTTTTTTAAAAATATATATATTTTTTTTAATATATATATATATATAAAATTTTTATATTTTTTAAAATATATATATATAAAATTTTTTTTTAAAAAAATAAAAATTGGGGGGGGGGGGGGGGGTTTTTTTAAAGGGGGGATTTTTTTTTTGGGGAAAAAATTTTTACGGGGGGGGGGGGGTTTTTTTAAAAAGGGGGGGGTTTTTTTGGGTTAAAAAAAAAAAAGGGGGAAAAAATTTTTTGGGGGAATTTTGGGAAAGGGGGTTTTTGAAAAAAAAAAAAAAAAAGGGGGAGAAAAAAGGGTTTAAAAGGGGGGGGGGGGGGGGGGGGGGAAAAAAAAAAAGGAAAAAAAAAAAAAAAAGGGGGGGTTTTTTTTTTTTTTTTTTGGGGGGGGAAAAGGGGGAAAAGGGGGGGGGGGGGGGGGGGGGGAAAAAAAGGGGTTTTTTTTTAAAAGGGGGGGTTTTTTAAAAAGGAAGGGGGGGAAAAAAAGGGGGGGGAAAAAAAAAAAAAACCTTGGAAAAAAAGGGGGGGGGTTTTTTTTTTATTTTTTTGGGGGGGGAAAAAAAATTTTTTGGGGGAGGGGGGGGGGAAAGTTAAAAATAAAAAAAAAAGGGGGTTTTTTTTTTAAAATTTTTTTAAAAAGGGGGAAGTTCAAAAAAAAATTTTTTTGGGGAAAAAAAAAAATTTTTTAAAAAAAAGGGGGGGGGAAAAATTAAAAAAAAAAAAAAATTTTTTTGGGTTTAAAAAAGAGGGGGGGGAAAAAAAGGGGGGGGTTTTTTTAAAAAAGGGGGGGGAAAAAAATTTTTTTAAAAAAAAACCCCTTTTTTAAAAGGGAAAAAAGGGGTTTTAAAAAAGGGGGGGTTTTTTTTTTGGGGGGAAAAAAAAAGGGGGGGGGAAAAGGGGGGGGGGTTTTTTCCCAATTTTTTTGGGGGGGAGGGGATTTTTTTTTGGGGGGGGGGGGGGGGGGTTTTTGGGGCAAAAAAAAAATTTTTTTAAAAAAGGGGGGGGGGGAAAAAAAAAAAGGGGGGTTTGGAAGGGGGGGGGGGAAAAAAAGGGGGGGGAAAAAGGGAAAAAAATTTTTTTTTTTAAAAAAAGGGGGGGGGAAAAAAAACCCGGGAAATTTTGGGGGGGGGGAAAGGGGGGGGGGGGGGGTTTTTAAGGGGGGGGGGGGGGTTTTTGGGAAGGGGGGGGTTTTTTTTTTAAGGGGGGAAAAAAAAAATTTTTAAAGGGATTTGGGGGGGGGGGGGAAAAAAAAAAGGGGTTTAAAACCCCCAAAAAAGGGGGGAAAAGGGGAAAAAAAAATTTTGGGAAAAAAAAAAGGGGTTTTTTTTTTTTTGGGGGCCCTGGGGGTTTTTTTGGGGGGGGTTTTTTTTAAAAATTTTTTTAAATATAAATATAAATAAAATTTAATATTTTTTATATATTTTAATAAAAAATTTTTAAAATTTAAAAGAAAAATTCCCCCCCAAAAAAAAAAAAACCCCAAAAAAAAATTTTTGCCCCCCAAAAAAAATTTTCCACCTAAAACCCAAATTTGGCCCCCCCCAAACCCCCCCCCTTAATTTTTAACCCCAAATTTTAAGGGGGTTTTTACAAAAAAAAAGGGGGTTAAAAAACACAAACAACCCCCCAAAAAAAAAAAAAACCCATCAAACGACATTTTTAAAACCATAAGCGACGTCACTACTGTACGGGCCCTCAGAGCAGGGGAAGTTTGATAGGAAAAAATGGCCCATGTTGTTATCTCTGTTGATGTCGCTGGTCTTGGCGTAGGGGGCGTGAGAAGTAAAAGGGTGCCTTTCATGGAAGGGCCTTGGACGGGCCGGGTTTGCATGGCAAATCCCTTCAAAGCTGTCGTTCGCCTTCAGAACTGCAGGGAAGATAAGGGATGAGGGTGTGAGATGCTGAGACGAGATGTAAGAAAGCTGAGACGAAGTTTTAAATGTGAGAAAGGGGAGTGTAGATGCTGAACGAGAGGTAAAAAATGCTGAGAAAAGAGAGTGTAAGATGCTGAGGGCGAAAAGGTAAAATTTCTGAGACGAGAGTGAAAAATGCTAGACCAGAGTGTAAGTTTCTTTAGACAAAATTTGAGATGAAAATTTTTGGGGGGTGGCTTTTGGCAAAACAAAAATTTTCCCCCCAATTTGTAAAAAATACTGACCTAAATTTACCCTTCCAAGAATAATTTCGACCTATTTTTCCCCTTTCAATATTAATAATACTGGGCCTGATTTCCCCCCTTTCAAAATAATATAACCAAATTTTTCCCTTAAAAAAAAGTATAAAACTGACCTAATTGATTCTTTATTCTGGTCACCCATCCCCCAAAGGTTTTTCCCCGTGGAAGACCCCCCACACCGTCGTTTCCGAAGCTTCGTTTATGATGTTTATCGCTGTGAACTGCCCCCCATGGCGTCCGCGGTCCCCTGCGCAGAAAAAAAGATTTTTCACCCCATGCCAATCGTTTCTCGTTATTATTTTTTGGTAACACACAAAAAGAAATTTTCGAAACCCGTTCAAGTATTTCATTAATGAATTGGAAGAAACACGAAAATTTTGGGACACACCCAACAAGATTAAAACAGGGGAACAAGGTAAGTCCCTGGGGATCAAGACAAAAATTTTGGAGATCAAGCTTTGGTGGAAGGAGGTCACCTTTGGAATATTGGAAAAAGAGGTAGCGACTGTACCAGCAGGTTTTTCCCGAAAGGGCCCCGAAGGCCCGCCCCCTCCCCGGGGCGTTGAGCACTGGGCGTGTTCAGCAAGCAGTCCACCCCATTGACAATATTTTTAGTACCTTTCCTGTGCACACAAAATATCAAAATATATAAAAATATATATATATTTTTTAAAAAGTCGGCCGTTTTCCCAAACCCAGGCAGGGGGGACCCAAAAAAGAAAGAAAATCCCCAAAAAGAAAATAAATTTCATCATTTATTCAAAAACTTTTTTTTTCACTCCCACAAATCACTGTTTTTTTCAGAGGTGCTCAGAACACAACATATATATATATGTAAAACCCCCTATTTTACTCACCATTTGTGGTTTCGGGGGCGAGTCCCTAGCCCTGGACCCCCCTCTTTACTGAATTTCTACTATCCTCCCCTCTCCCCGCTCCATGACTTTATCTTTTCCTCCCTTAAAACTTGTAAAGGTTCCCGCCTCCATACTTCCTTTTTTAGGCTATCCACGGCTTGGGCTACTCTACATGTGTGTGTGTGTGTGTGTGGGGTTGTTTTGTGTGTGTGTGTGTGTGGTTTGTTTTGTGTGTGGTGTGTGTTGTGTTGTGTGTGTGTTGCATCTTTAAACTTTTTTTTTTTTTTTTAACAAGTCTTCTCCTGTCCCCACCCTTCCTTTTTTCTTTCTTTGACCCTTTTGCAAAAAAAATTCACTTTCATTGATGCCCCGCCAGAGAAAAAATGTGCCAACCCATCAATGCAGTTGGCACTGCAATTTAGCAGGAATCTCTCCTCTCAAAAAGTTACTTTTTGTAACAAAGGAGATTAAAGGTAAAAAAGGGACAAACCCAAAGACTGGAACAATTTCACAAAAAACCCCTCAAAGGAGAATGAAACTTTTGGGCCTACGTTTGGGGTCCGAAAATGAACCATTAAAATAGTCACACAGAAGCGTGAAGAGAAGGGGGACAGTAAAAATATAAGAGAGGGGGCCCCTGAGGGGGAAACCAGAAAGGGAGAAATTTAAAAAATTTGAAGTCAAAGGGAAAGAACGAAGGTCCCCGCAAGGGAAA